TTCTCTTTGTTATCTGCTGTGGCTACATTCTGCACACATTTACCACATTTTTGTGTTTTTAAAAAAACGTTTACTTCAGTTTTGGAGAAGAGTGAGTTTAAAGACGAGTCCCAGTTCTTCCGTTTCTACGCTGACGAGGAAACCGAGGGGACCGGCACCAAGAGCAAGCAGCTCCAGCGAAATGACTTCAAACTCATTGAAAACATCTTAGTCAAATCCCTTGTGGTGAGCAACACTCATGTACACACTTTCACATGCTCCCACATCTATACATGGATATGCAGATATTGCCAGAATCTGGGAAAAAAAACCACTTCTAGCATCATCATTTTCCCACGAGAAAAACGTGCTAATAATTAAAAGGTTCGCGAACATCATTCCGATGCTCTAAACATGGCACAAAGATGTTTTGATTACCTTGCACAGCATTAACCACCCCAAAGACCAAACAAAAGCATGATGGGAAACAATGAGCCACTGTACTGTAGACTGATGCAAAAATAACAAAAACAAGGTTTTTCAAGTTATCCTGTTACGCTGTCGGGCATAAACATGCATTTTGACTGTAGAACCCTGCATACATATATACCTGTGTGCCTTCTTCTGATCTCCACATCTAAATTTTATTAACACCACTATACACAGTCGTCCCCCCCCCCACGAGTAGCTTTGATGACAACAAGCACATTTGAAATCGCTCTGATCACTATGCATCTGAGTGTTTTGCTCTGAATATAATTGTAATGTAATCAGCTGTATCGGCCGGGATGAATCTCTGTTGCGCTGCTGCTGATACAAGAGATAACTGTGAGAGATGACTGAAACGAACGGCAGCCGATGAATATTCTTGAAATACATTTGAAAATGTGAGCTGATGATTGATGACTGTAGTGCAGTTAAAAGCAGGACAAGACCTTTTCCTTCTTTAGTGCTTGATCTGCTTTAAAGACCTTTTAAAATGCGTCAGTCAGCATTGTGCCATTTCTTGAAATGGCTTTCAGCATAGCCATTTTCTTTTTTTAGCAGCAGAAAAAGGTAAGATTTAAATAAACAGTAACTTAGTTTTAACTCTTATAAGGTGTAATTTGCAGCAAACATGTCCATAATCACTCCAGAACTGAGCGTCCAGTTTGACACTATTAAATATTCTTTGTAGAAAGAGGAGGGGCTGCTTAGGGGAATATGGTATGTGCACTAACTGCCCAGATATTGGGTCACTTAGGTTTTCACTTTAATTCCAATCACATCTGTGGCGTGACGCCTACAATAAAAGCATATAATATTTTTTTACACATACAGTAAAAGTCAGTCTGCACAACACTGGGTCAAGTGTTCGGGGGTTTCCACAAACTCACACAGAAAGTCAACTGTTTATTTGAGTCCATTATCTTCAGGGAAACCTAGAAGCATCATCAGCATCCCTTTTCATGTCATAGTGAGAAGTAGGCACGCCATCTGGCTTTCCACAAGAAGTGGAAAAGGCCCTTTTCCTTGATTAGCGGAACTAATCCCCCCCCCCAATGCCTATTATTGAAGTGAAGTGCAGGAACTCTTTATTTTCCACGGTCATCTCCTCTGATATAATAGCAGAGATCCCCATCTTATCAGGACTGTGCAGCAGGAAGATGGCCCCAGCAGCTTAACTAATGGAAGCTGCTAATGTGTTTGGCGACGACAGCATTTAACTTTAAGCCTCAACCCCAAGTGGGAATACAATATGGAGAGCAGAGAGCAACATCAGGCAAAGGCACCTGAGACGGAATGAAAGTCACAAATGGCTAATGAAACTGTGATTATGTGTGAATAGTTTGCTTGTGAGACCACCCAGAAAAAGTGTCGTAAATTGATTTCTCAGACAAACCAGGTCACTGCCATGAAGACAAGTTGCCGTTTTATAGCCAGAGCCTACAGTTGCTTTCTGACTAACAGCACAGAATTACAGCAGCAGAACCAAGGGAGACAGAAAGATGATGAATATGTGTGCATCTAAAATTATTTTCCTGTTTGCTTACTTGTGATACTAAATCAGTTCAAGACATTTTAAGCCTGACAGTCAGCGGTGAAAATGTGGAAGTAATTAGTCAATTTTCTCTGTGCTAGATTCACCCCGAGGAGGAAGGCTACGGCTTTGAGATTGAGGAGAAGAACAAGGCCATCGTTGTGAAATCTGTCACCAGGGGCTCACACGCTGAGGTAAACACACACACACACTTCTTCCAGCCTCGGGGTGTCAGTTCCACTAGGTAATGGCTGTCTACTCTCCGGACGGCTGCTGTCACTCTGTCTCTCTCCCTTTTTTGAGAACTCTGCTCTGATTGGCTGCAGAGCCATTTGCAGATATATTTTTACGTTTAGGAGGGAGCAGCTTCCATATTGGTATTTGTCCCGTCCGTGCCATTGTGTCAGCCTTCACTGATGATGGGGAGGGGAATAACAGTGACAGCTCAATGGCTGTGCTAATACAAGATGGACGAGCCAATGTTTTCTTGTCTTATTGATCATTCATCCTCTTTTTATGTCCTCTTACTCACCTTAGACAGGTGACATACTTTACTTCTGGCCTGTCCATCTCACAGCCCAGACTGTATACTGTTAATCGTTGCAATGTTGTCATGAACACACATGATGGTGCCCTGGTTGTTTTTCCTCCACAGCCTGACTATAACTGTCATGCTCCCCACTATTTCCACATTTGTATCCTCATTTCTCCCGTGCCCCTGTGCTGCTCTGCAGCTCTCGATAATCTTCATTTTAATGCACTGCCCAACTACCACACTAAACCTTTGCTTCTCTGTTCCTTATTACTCCTTTTTTCCTTAATTTCGAACCCGCTCTCACTCTATTATTTATTCCCCCGTGCCCTCCACTCCCCACAGTGGGGCGAGGATTGCTAGTTGTGACACAGCCCGTGTGCCAGCGCTGTGAATGAAGCTCAGCTGATTCCCATGGGGCTCTGAAAAGGGCTGAGAGGCACACACTCACACACTGAGCTCTTTCACTATATGATACTATTATAGAAAGTCACGTGCAGACTGGCACCCATGCTGTGTAATCACACACACATATACATGCACCCCTCTGCATTCAAATAGCTCTGGCTCCTCCCAGTCGTTCCTACATCCACGCTGGGCCTTCAAACAGAGTCGAGGCCTGGCTTAACCAAGGCCATCCCACCGGATCTTTGCCCAGGACACTGGACTCACACAGTGAGCGCACAGAGGCTGCATTCTTCTCACAACGTGACTGAAGATGACTGCATTTAAATGCATGCTGCAGGCTGATTTGCTGTGTGTCTGTCATTTGTAAAGAGATTTCAGAAGCTGAAATCCGACTGTGAAAAGCTTGAAAATGTTTGTTTCTTTGGGAGCAGGTATACTGGTTTGTGCAGCTGCAACGCACCGTGACTGAAGAGATTGTATATTAGCTAAAGGAATCTGGCAAGATCCGACAAAGCATCAGAGGTCGCAGGCAGAGCAACTGGCAACATTAGGAAAAAAATTATAAAGTGACGCCCTTCAATCTGGAAGTGCGTGCAAATCTAACACAAAGCAGGCATGACACTCAGGTCTAGCAATCATGCATTTTTATCATATCCAGTGGCGAATCTTTATATGCACTCACTCCATACAACTTCAGTCAAATGCTGGAAAATACACGACAAGACAGAACAGGCTGTGGGAATTTGGAGCAGCAAACAATGCTTTTCGTCTTATCGCTTGTTTGTTTGTTTTCTTCTTTGCTCCTTGGAGGCACATTATCATATACCAGCACTTGATTGTGAGTAATTCACGTTAGACAGGGGAATTGTACACAGTCTCTGTCTCACTCCGGTACTCGCTCGTAATTTTAAATTGAATTGCAGTCCCCCGACCTGAAACTCTTACTGTGCGGATGATGCCTTTGGGAGGGGGTTCAGGCTGAAGCAAGCTGCCACCTATAAATAACCACATTCTGTCTCCTGTCTGTCCGTCTGTCCGTGCAGATGGCTGGCCTGCAGGTGGGCAGGAAGATCTACACCATCAACGAGGACCTGCTTTTCCTCAGGCCTTTCTCGGAGGTTGAAACCATGATTAGCCAGTCCTTCTGCATACGACGCTCCCTGCGGCTGCTGGTTGGCACCAAGGCCAAGGAGTGAGGGCTCATGCATATATGCTGAAATACACAATGTCCACTCATATAGACCGCACTGGTCTGATTGGTATTTTCTTTTTCTTTTTTTCCAGGATCGTAAAAATCCCTGACAACCCAGACAGTCTCTCCTTCAGACTGAGTGGCTCTGTTCCTCCTCATGTCCACGCTGTGAGGAAAGGTAACTGACTTCTGTAGCCACAACAATCAGCAGAAATATGCATTTTTTTCAGAGATAGCAGAAGAATTTCATTATTACTCCTTCTCTCATGAACACTCGGAGAATAACACGTAGGACGAAAGCACGGTACCAGAGTTTAATAAGTAGGCTACAATTTTTTTTTATTACCCCAGATCGAAAATGTAATTTATAACAGCGTTGCTGTATCGTTAATATCTGGTTTCTGTCACATGGCAAAATGGCAGAAATAGTGTGCAGTTTTGTATTTAAAGCTAAAATAAGACCATCGCTTTGTACATGTAATGGAAAAATAATCAGCTGAGCACTTGACCACTTTACAGCTCCCGGGGAAGTGTAGTTAAATTATTATTTCTTGAATGTAGTTATAAGTGACCCATATTTTGCTTATGAGCCAACAGTGGAGATCCGTGAACAGATTTGTAAGATGTTGACCTTGTTATTTCTGCACCAGTGCCAGTAAATGCATTAAAAGTGTTTACGGTGTCAGAAAGACAAATAATTCCGAGGGAATTCAAAGGAAAGATGAGGTAACTCTAGCCTCTAACCACCTGTTACATTCTGCTCTTAGTGAGCCTCTATTAGGTTTTTATGGCCACCTGTCAGCCAGACAGCCCACGGTCAGGGTTCAAACCCTTAATAGAGCAAACTACTTTTCAAACACACACAATGTTCTGTGATCAGAGCTAAAACTGTAATGGGTAACTGAAAAGACAGCTACTTCTGTTTTCCCTTTTCGTTTCTCCTACTTTTCTTTAAGGCCTCCTTACTATACAGCTTGTTTGTCGGTCTCTAAATAGAAAAATCAGCAGTGTGTTTAGAAGTTAAATGAGGGATGAATCCCAATTTGTAACCTAGCAGCAGTAAGGCGAGGATACACACACGCACCCTAATAAAAAAAGACCGGTACAGCCAAGAAATTTGGTCCCTTGGTTTTATTGTCTTTCCTCCACTTTCTTTCCCTCTTAAACCCAACTCCTTCTTCCCTACATGTTCCTTTTCTCACTTTCCTAACATCCTCAATTACTTGAGACTCAGTATGACGTATGTTTCATTTGAATTCAGTGGCTAGTATTTTTTACCCCATTGTTTTTAAATGACTTTCTCTGGGAGACTTTCATTCATGGGTAAAGTAGTCTCCTTAATGTGGTTACTGCTGGCACCCTGGGTGGAAATGATGCCATTGCTGGTATTTTTAGATTGGGCAGGAAGGTTAATCGAGGTGTTGATTGGACTTCCAGGCTGTAAAGCCATTAGTAGCTTGAGACAGCATGTTATAGCTCTCCACAGAGTGATTTCCCATTTTCCTGTAGAAACAATAGGGGAAATGTTTTGTTGAGAATTTTTTTTAATGAGTTCACTATGTTATGCTTAATTCAGTCATCCTGAAGAAAATGTTTCCCAGTGTATGTGTGGTATTGTAAATGGTTTTTGCCTTTGTGCGAACTCATGATCCTGTGTGGAAATATTACAGGCTGGGAGGCAGCAGCGTCTGGTCTTCAGCCGGGCCAGGTCGTCCTGAAAGTCAACGGCAACAGTGTCAATCACAGCGACTACCAAGAGGTCCTGGAGCATTTCACAGCCCAGCGCACTCACCAGGAACCTCTCCAAGCGGTGAGCTAACACAGGCCAACAAAAAACAAACTATTCTGTAACATTAGAGCAGGTTTTCTAGCGTTAAGTCTCTTTTATTTAGCCCATATTATAATTGAAAGTTAAATCCCAACAAACCACATCATCCTGCTCAGTATGGTGCATGGTGTTCTGTGAGGTTTTACAGTCCTTGTGTGTTGTTATGGCTCTAACTGTAAGGGAAATCCCTGAGCGCTTTATTTAGCAGACAGTAAACCAAGTAATGCCACAAGACAGCATGAATAGTGTCAGTGGTAGTTTTGGAAGTTAATATGTCAGATCATTTACTAATGGGGGAAAGCTCAATAAAAACCACATTTGACAAGCTAACAGCCCAAAGAATAGAGGTCAGCCAGACATTCCTGAGATGGTTCAGAAAAACAGCATTTGCATTAGTTGACTGTTTGCTCATTTCATCTGCATTTTTGGCTGGAATGGTAGGTTTCTTAGTGAGATCCAAAGTGAATTACAAGCTGTCACTATGTCGCTACAGGTTATACAACTCAAAATACAGTCCTGCCTGGAGTGAAACAGTATCCACAGTGTTCATTCAGCCCCACTGCCAAAACTGCATGAGTTAAATTCTTTATTAAAGTAACATTAGTGAATTGTTTTGGGGTTGTTGTTTTTTTCAAACTGAGCCATGACTAAATAACAAGTGTTTATACTGAATACTAGATGGCCGATGTCAAAACTACAAACTCCTCTTTGGTTGTTTTGACATTCCTGCAGAAGCAACTCATGTCTCCAGGCAGTATTTCAAAAGACTGCAGACAGAGCAGAGCAAGGTGTCCTCCGTACAATGTTTTGTTTTGTCTTATTTTATTTAGCTGATCATTCAACCAGTTTGTTGTCAGTGGTTGAGTGCATTGCATTGTTCATTTAGGTGGAATCAGTCTTTATTGCATTGTCAGGGTAAAAGCTTCTCTATCCATACTTCCCTCTAAAATACGTGTATAAAGCCCTCTCATATTTACACAGCTTGATGTTGATGTTTCTGTTTTTCATCATGTTCTCATCCACATTAAAATTCCAACAAATAGTCTACCAAACACTGCAGCCATGCTGACGGCTGGTAAAACTAATATTGGATGGGTCTGTCTAGATGAACTGGTGAGAGAGCAGCGACCCAGACAGCAGGCGCCCCGGCGACTGATTTTTATGAGCTTTAATCTTCATCCCACAGTGTCACTGGGTGTATCGAGCATTCGAGGATGTGGAAGAGCTACAAAGAGAGAGGGGTGCAGATGAGGAGGAGGACAGCCCTTTCAAGCCTTACCCAGTGGAGAATGGCTCTGACCACGAAGAGGACAAAAGCACCAATGGAACAGGTGAAACGTGTTGCTTTGAAATTGTTTGCAACAGTCTTTTGTTTTGCTCGGATTTAAAGTTTTATCAGTGTCGCAGTATGTCTTTAATTTCTGTAAGAAGCTTTCAATCCCCAATTCCTTTGCGGTTTTTCTGCTCATGTCAGCTAGTTTCATTTCAGTCAGCAAAATGTATCTGAGCGAGATTAGTGCTGCTTTGGCAGCTTTTTGCCTCGTGTGTGAATCCAGATTGATTGCAGGCTTCATGCTAAAAACATGTGACCCTGCCAAAAACATTACATCAAAACATTATGTTCCATCTACAATGCTTTTTTGTTTTTTTCATTTGGCTTCTGACTTGGGTCATATTCACCGTGCCGGTAAAAATGGCTTCAGCAGTAGGTAATTTGCTCTGGATATAGAAAATTCGCAGTTTGAAAATGACACTTCCGCACGCTACAGTCATAGGACGCCATTAAGTAATATTCAGTGTACACTTAGTGGCCAATTTTCCCACAGTACTGGCAGGGTTAGCACACTTGACAGATGTGCAGCACACTGTGTACCTTTACTAAAATGACTTAAAATGATATTGTGTTTTCCCCTCAGAGATTTTTATATGCACTACATTTTTGTTTTTTCATGATTTTGAAGTGATTTGAGTTTTTTTAAACATGCACATATCATTTGATTTTTTTCAGTTATTGTATTTTAGTTGGTTATTTACTTTCGAATGTATGTCAAGTATTTAATTGAAATCTGTGATCCACAGACTGCAAGCTGGGCAGACTCTCCCTGTGTGATCTGCCTCTGGTCAGTCTGACAGTTGATAACGTCCACTTGGAGCATGGCGTGGTGTATGAATATGTGAGCACTGCAGGCATCAAGAGCCACGTCCTGGAGAAGATAGTAGAACCCAAAGGCTGCTTCAGCCTCACTGCGAAAGTGAGTTTTGTCAAGATGAGAAGTTTGTTCAGCTAAAGCCTACATATGCATTTATCGTTAGACTGGTGGATAGTCATGCTAAATATTGCTTAAGTTTCAAACAGTAAAGTCAGCTTAATATTTTGTTTTTGCTTCTGGTTTCACTTAACTGGAAAGCAGAAAGTTTAGCTGGGGTAAAACTCAGCTGCCTTATTATTTCGCTGCTACAGCTAAAAATGCTAATTTGCCAGTGATTGAAATGGACTAAATCGGGTTCCTAAACTGTTATTGTCAAGGTGATCCATCCTCAGCAATTGTTCTTGTCTCTACAGATCCTGGAGGCATTTTCGGGCGATGACAGCCGCTTCGTTCATAACTGCAGCCAGCTCATCTCCCCGAGCGACCGAGTCGTTACCATGCCGCAGTACGAGTTCAGACAAATCTGCGAGACCAAGATGAAGAGTATCAGGAGGCGTATCAGCAGCTATCAGCAGGTATTGAGACATTCTGGTATTCAGTCACATTAGTTTACTAAACACAATTTATTTTGTGACATGTGACTAAACGGTTCAGTGGAACATCCTTTTCTATAGCAATAAATTCACATTTTTGCTCCCCCCAAAAAAGACATGGCAATTTTTTTTTTTACACTACTCCTATTGCATTAAATGCGTTTTGAGCAGCTTGGTGAAAGTGTGTTAAGAGTCTCACAAAATGCTTTTTCAAGACAGTTGTGTTTGTCGTGTAAACCATATGCCACTACCTGGTAAACACATTTTGATATTTGTCTTATTTTCTCCTTACATATTACACAGACTGTAAAAAAAATCATATAAAATCCAAACCCATTGAATTATTAAAAATAGCATCGCATCTAAGAAACATCCAGGAGCTTCATTCTGATAAGAAAGCTAATATCTACAATGATTACATGCAAACTTTAATTAACTTGCTAACATACCAGAACCCTTATCAGAAGCTTTGCGATATCATGAAGATGCAACGGTTGTAGTCATATCATTTTTTAATTCACTAAACTCATTACCTTCTTCTTCATGGCTTCTCCCATTTTGTTTCCCTTTTTACACAGTTTGCTCTGGAACTGAGGAACAAGGTGTGGCCCTCTGTCAGGCAGGCTGGGGTTCGCCCTCACCCACTGGGCTGCATGGACTTTGTTCCTACCAACTGCCACATCAACTTGATGCAGGTCTCCTACCCCAAAAGCACTACTTCTGCCGGCAGGACTTTCAGCATCCGTTTTGGTCGTAAAAACTCCATCTTTGGCCTGGACCCCGACCAAGGTAGGAGCTGCACACAGTCCTCCAACCAAGAAGATTAGAACAATCTCAACAGTGTCACATTTTCACTGCGTAAAGTAAGCGTTGCAGGGATTTATCCCTCTCATGGTAATATAGCTTACCACTAGCTCAGTGGTCATTTTGATGCTTTGATGCATTTGATGCTGTGACTGGACCAACCCCAGCCTCCCAGTGTAACCAAAAAGGCCCAACAAGGATTCTCATGGTAAAATTAGATGAGTAGGTTGCTATTAAGACTCCGTTAGCCCTCGGCCATTATATTCAAGTTACTGACATGAGAAGTGAGTGAGTGATGTAAGCAAAGACCTCAGTGCAGAGCAGGAATGTGTTCACTCTGTGGTGCGTTAGAGGTCACAGAGCAGAGGAAAAAAGTGAGAGATTTAGTTGAAATGGAAAGTAGAAGATGTTCAAGGAGAGAATAAAGTTTGGAAATACTTTTGAAATTTGGTTTTTCAATAGGAATTTTAGAGGTTAACATGTAAACTTCTACTCTCAGCAAAGATGAAAAGGCAGTACAGCTGTCTAGACAGCAGACAGTCAGCATTGTTCCAAGATGCTCGGCCCCATCTTTCCTCTGAACACCAGCTGCCGGTCAGACATCTGCCAAGCACTTGTACTGATGAGATGTTGCTGTGGCTCTTTTTTGAAAGCTGTCGTTAGAGTTTGAACTGTCTTAGATCACCACGAGTATTAAATCTGTTTTCAGTTTTTGGATATGTCAGGTTATTACAGCTTAGCTTGGCATTCAACCCAGATAAACAGGCTTCCTTTTACTGTGTATATTAGCTGAACGATGGTCTTTTTAAGACTTTGTTTTTCGTCAACACCAAATTAAGAACAGATAAGAGTATTACTTCATAGCTTTTGAACATCTGGCACAGATGTTATTGTCAGAGCGTGAAGTCTCTTTCATTCAATCACCCGTAACATCTCTCCTCTCCTTTAGCACAACTGAACCCCATGTCCCACACTCAACATTGCATGACCAGCATGGGAGCTCCGTCCTGGAGCTGCTCTGGTTTGGATGGGGATGAAGCGGATGGCAGCGGGGAAGTGAATGTCGATGGAGGGGAGGGCTTGAATGATAGTCGCCACGGAGAAGGCGGTTTGAGTTTCCTGCTCAAACAGGAAGACACCGAGACACAGGACGCCTACATTTACTTGTACAGTCGTTTGGACGTTGCTGTGAGGGAAATGAAGCAGTATGTTGCTCAAATAGATGTGTAAGTATTACAGCTCGTATTCATCACGTTTAATTTAACAACACTGAACCTTATTTTCACATAAACTTTTTTCTTATCTTTTAAAGGTTATGCCTATTCTGCAGATGTTTTCTTCAATCACGTGTGCCACATATTAGAAAAAAGAAAACTTTCACTCACATCCATTCTGAAATTAGTCCCAGCATTACCGACCTTCTGCTGTTATCAGATATTTCCATTCCACTGCTGTTTTTGAGTAGGCTATTTTCGTAACCTTCTCGCTGACATTCAGAGATCTCTGCGTGAAACGCTGTTATCCCCACAGCAGCCTGTCTTTGTCTGTCCTCCCTCTGCCTTGTTTAAAGCTGAGGATTTACAAAAGGAACATTCTTCAGGCCCAAAATATTTATGGGCCAGGCCCAGTACAGGAACAGGGAGTGAGGCCAGGATAACATCAAGAGAAAGAGACACATATTGTGTGTCTGTGCTGAGGAAGGGGTGTGACAATTTGAATGAATACATGTGTATGTTTTAGTTATGGGGGAGCCCATGCATTGTGTATTGTATTAGAAATGTAAGCATAACAGTGTCTTGACATGAAGACTTTAATTTGAATATAAATGACTATGGATCAAGTTGTATAAAAGTTTTGAATATGCTAAAAACATAACACAAAATTATGGCATATATGTTATATAAATTATGATATATGCTCTTTATCATATGCTAAAGATATGTAGATAATGTCTCCAAGGTAAAGAGCAATATCTATATTTTGTTGTTTTCAGATATATTTGTTTATATTTTTTTCTCTAGGCTGTTGTCATCCATCACCGAGCCTACACAGCTCCAAGGAGAGGGCGGCGAGCCTCCAATCGACGAGGAAAATCAGCCGCCCGCCCTGGTCCCCTGTGAGGATGGATGTGACCAGGACAAAGTGGAGCAGGGCGTCACTAAACGAGTCTGCTTCAAAGTGAACGAGGAGGACCAGGAGGACTCCGGCCACGACACAATGAGCTACAGGGACTCCTACAGGTAAGTGCTTACTGAATATGCAGCTACAGGTTACAGTGTAACCTGGCACCTGAAAAGGTAATAACAAGGCGCTGATAAGACACATTAGCTAAAGCTTCAAATAAACAGGCTTAGGTTGAAGACCCCTGGAAAACCATGAAAATATGAATTTCATTGGCCTGGAGTTGGTAACTAGGGGCACTTAAGCAAAATCATCTTAAAATGACAGAAATTCCCAATGTTCAGGACAATGCCTAAGATGATGGTGATTAAGAAGAAGGCCTTGCTGGCTTGTTAGCCTATGGAAACAGGATATGCTGGATATGCTTAGGGAGCAAACTGCACTGTCTATCAAAAATGCTGGGAAAATGGGATTTACATCCATATTGGAAAACACAACTGGACTATATTCTAAAAACTTTTTATCTTGCTCTTGATTTCAAACTGGCATATTAGAGCATACTTTCACCTTTTCTGTATATTTCTATTGCAAGTCGGCATGATATCATTTAAAGTGGTATTTACCTCATGGTTTTCCAGGGGCCTTCAAGATATTTACCTCTCAAATTATATTTTCTACAATTTGAGACCTAAGTAGCTTATATATAACTCCACTATATAACTTGAAACACTTTGACCTTAATTATTTAAAGTAATATTTTCATTTCATTCTTTCTTTATTCATTCATCTGTTATAGCAGCATCACAGGTTAAAAACAACTCCTTAAAAACAAAAACAGCGCTCTGAGACTCCCACTTTACTCCACAAACCTATAATGCTTCTCATTTCCCCCCTTTGGAGGCTATAATTCATTCCAGATGTTGCCATTTTAACTGAGATGCAGGGCTAAAAATGACTTCAAAATGCTCTGGTTGAATCTGGTTATGTCATTTGCTTGTTGCAAGTTCATTCAGATGATTTTTTTTTTTTTGGGAAGGAGTGTGTGTGTGTGTTCACTGAACAGAGAGCCACTGAGCCCCACCCTCCACCACCCACTAAGATATAGTTATTGGTTGTCAGTGCGGTGGGCTGGTGTATAATAAAGCGAAATGTTTGGGGCGCGGCCTCCTCACCCGCTCTGTCATTAAAGCCTGGCCACGTCATGTGAAATGCAGCTACCTCATTGTAATAAAATGTATAGCAAAATGTCGGCTCTTCTGTGTGTGGTATAAACACACGCTCATGCACTCACACTTGCACACAGAGCTGTTTACTCAGGGTTTTTTGAGGCCAAGTAGGAAAAAAGTACTCTGGTCAAGGTAGCTGTACAAAGCTGCCTAGTGAATGTGGATGAATCATCCCACTTGTAAAATTTTGCATGTGATGAAAAGTGCTTATGTGTTTCACGTGTGGGTGGTGCTTTTTTTTAAAGTTTTTGTCCAGCTGAGAGAATCAGGCAGTAAAGCCTGAGGTGGTGACAAACCACAGTAGAACTCAACAGCTGGAGGTCAGTGGCCAAGCGCAGCCTGTGACAGACGCAATGTTAGAACAGGGGAGAATGACTTTTACACACACAAATACACAAAGAAAATAGTGTTTGTTCCAAACTCTGGTATATTGTGTCTCCCATAAATCACTGCTTCTCTAGTGTGTGTGTGTGCATGTGTGCGTGTGCATGTGTGTGGTGTTGTTCGGACCTTTCTTTGTAGTAAGGTGCTGCTACATGTTGCTTACATGTGATGATGGTGATGGAGAGAGCTGTAGGTGAGCAGACTGAGATGTTTTAATCCACAGTGAGCACTGTGTGGATGAGAGCATTATCCATCAGTAGTGGATGTTTGATCGCAGGATAAAGTGTACTGATCTGCACTAGACCTTCTCTTTAATGGGGAGAAGTGAACCCAGACACACACTAGCAAAATACTCATCTAAACCACTGAATCCCTTCCCTGTCTGAGTCCAGATTTTATTTTTTCTATCTAAAATTTCTCCAGTCTACTTTTTCCAGGTAGCTCAGAGGTAGATTGTATCACCATTTTTTTCTTGTACTTGCTTGCCTAATATGTAAATAAGCCTAAAAACACCTATAATATGTATCTTTTCTAGGAAAATGTGCTAAAAATATATAAAGTGTCTATTGGATTATGGAAGAATGTAATCATTCAAGCTGTTTTAGTGAATATGCTGACATTATTAGCATATTTTAAACCTTTTTTTAAAAAAAAACAATTGCATTGACTAGCACATAAATAGCGTATAACAAATGGCTACAGTTTAAGTAGGAATGTCAGAAGTTGCTAATGAGTTGTTCACTATCACCCCACCTGTATTAATAATTGAGAAGTTATCATCTTGTATATAATTTAATGTAAGTGAGACCATGAGAGCTGTGTGCAGAGGTGTGTTTGCTCTCCATTACTGCGGACAGGTTAATTATCACAGTCGTACTCACACTGTTGGCAGGAGATGTGTGAAGCTAAATTGGATGTCACCTTTTCTATCCATGTGTGTGTGTGTGTGTGTGTATGTGTGTTTGTGTGTGTGAGACAAAGGCAGAAGCCAAGTTTGTGTGCATTCCTCTGAATGCAGCTCCCTATAACGAATCAGATAGAAAAAGGGAATAATACAGTATAAAGAGAGGAACATATATCATTTTACTGTAAGTATGTGATATTGTTTTTGCACACATTTATGAGAAGCCAGCGGAGCATTCAAGCCAAGTTATCATTGTAGCACCTCTACGGTAGCCACCCCCACCATCCCAACAGCACAAATTTACATACATTGGACACCACAGAATAACCCAGCAGGTGATATCCCGGCTCCACTCCCCCCACTTTGTCACCCTGCCAGCCCAGATAATAGTAAAGCAACACAAAGCCAGTGATGGTGTTTTGTAGGTCGTAGTCGCTCGTAGGCCATTTGTCATGGTAATTCAGCTTGTGAATCATTCTGAACTTCTCTGAGGGGGATTGCAAGCGTGCTCACTTAAAGCCATGTATAATTTGAGCCACATAAATCTTCCACTTGCTCCCGGTAATCATGGTGAATCACATCGATGTATGACTATAAATACCAGCCCCACTAAGGCTGAAATTGTCTCCGCACACCAGCAAATGAAGAAAGGAATACAGTCCCAACTAAACGTGAAAACTAGGAAAAGAAGTTGTTCACAAAAGTGTCTTTGTAAAGTGGAGAGCTCCATTTTATGCACGCGCGAATTATATCCGATTTATTTGGGAATCTGATATAGCTACAGTTTTACTGAATGCAGCTCTGTGTAAGGCAGCAGCAGTTGTTGTTGTTGTGAGAAGCGTTTAATTGCCTTTGGTTTCATATACTGTAAATCAGAAAAGGCATTTACAATCACAAGGATTATTTGGCAGCATAATTACTAGATGCAGCTTTCCAAATCCTCTCTGTGGTTTAAGAACGGAATGAGCCCTTTTTTCCCTAATGCTTTTTAACTGGGTGCTACTTGTGTGTGTG